ACACAGTATATCTGTGTGTGTGTGTGTGTGAGTGTGTTTTTCCTAATAGTTAATGTGTTGAATCTTGTTTGTGTGTGTTTTTGGAGAAAGAGAATTGCTTAACGTAGACACTAAGTTGATGTTCATCACACTTTTTTATGAGTTGCACTCCACACCTATGCAGATGAGCTCTGCCCTGCAGCTTTTGAGGTTCCATAATGGTTGCTTCATTTCTGAAAGCTCACATCTATGTGGGATGAGAACAGTTTAATCGTTGATTTAAAGATGATCAGAGGCAGCACACAGAAAGACTGGTCTTTGTGGCTATTTTTGCAGAGATGGTTTGGGAAATTGCCTTTCATGTGCATGAGCTGCTCCACTGTTCACATGCAGATTAGTCTCACTCACAGAAAACGTACATTTTGGCTCTGAATGTCATTGTTTGGACTCCTGGCTGGCTACCAGTAACAGGATGGCTGTATCTAGCATTAGCATTGTTACTAGCACTCACAATTTACACATAATGTTAATCGTTTTGCTACCATCAGTTTACATATTATTTAAATTCCCTACCATTAAACAAAGCAGAGCATTCTTCTCACACTTCATTGCTGCTCAAACATCTTCAGCACCACATATCAGGCAGCTAAGCAAACATTTGGTGCATTTCCACTTCCTACAGAGCAGGGGTGTGTACTGCATTGTTACCGGTATAGGCCAAAAAAGTGGGAAACTGTGTGATAAACTGAGTTAATTTTTTTAAAATGCAATTTTATTTCTGATTTCTATAATATTAAAATGTGGTCCCCAACCCTGGTCCCAGAGAAAAACTACCCTGCATGTTTTAGATGCTTTAGTGTTTTTAGTGTTCATCAAGCACCAGGGTTAGGAACCACTGATCTAGATAGACAGATAGATATTGGGTCAAATTTGATGTGTTATATGCTGAGCTCACTCCCAATACATAATGTGCAGGAGATTTATTTCCTGATATGCTAGTGTTTTTTTTTAAGTTAGACTTGGCTATAACTGTCATGGAAAGACAGCAGCTGCTTATCCTTATGAAATGCTTTTCAATATGTAAATGTACATGTTTTTAAACTGGTTTAAACAAGAATATTTTAAGTTAATGTTCATAGTTTTTGTTCACATCCTTCATTTCAATGCATTTGTGGGCAGATGTATAAGAACTTTTCCACATATGGTAATAAATGCAAAGTTGTTCTCTTTTACTTTTCATTGTAATATTAAAGTAATATTCTTTTTTATATCATGTCTTTTGAATTATTTATTCATTTGGGTTTAATTTCTGAAATGCAGAGGTCTGCAATACAACTTTCATTACATCTCATTTGTATCAGCTCTCCATTGTTTTAATCTGCAATTTTTAGAAATGTGTTTTCTTTGAGTTTTTGGTTTTGTTGTGTTGGACATTATGCATTTTTGTTTTTTTCTTCCCAGTTGTTTGGCTGTTAACTTGGTTTCAGTTCATATTTTGGGTACAGCATCTTTACTGCAAGAATGATCAATGAAAACATAGAGACCTTGGGAGAAAATAAGATTTATTGCATTGAATAAATATTCCTACATTCCTATAAGCATCATTAGGTCTAATTAAAGTATTTCAGAAAAT